TTAGCTCTGAAGGGCTGGGTTGCTGGGTTTAAAGATAACTTCTTGCCTAGGGTAGAGGTGCCTCTGTCGCAGGGATGGCCAGTGACAGATCAGAAGGGATAGAGGTTCACGATTTGTGTGGGAGTCTTGAATAATCTGTTCCTATTTTAATGTGAACATGGGTGGTAACATGGAATTACAGCATGTGGAGGCGGGCTGGTGTGCACGGATTAATGAAAAATAATGAGATAATATTGAGCATTTATATAGTCTCATTAGAAGGGCTCAGTTTCTCCACTGACAGAAATCCCTGGAAAATGTCGTACTCTGGGTCTCCATCTCTGTACCAGGTATTAACAGGAAACACAAAGGCTATTTCACAAGTATATTCCTTTGAAAAGAGCTTTCATTCCTTGTCTTAAATTTTAAGCAACTCTGTACTTACACAGTAATCCTTTCAACTCATATTTCTTTGAATCCAGAAGTCACCGTGTCTCCTGAGGTACTCTGCTGCGAAAAAAAAAACAAACCAACAAACAACAAACGCTTATAATTGCATGCTGGAAATTATGACATCTTTATACGATGCACCAAGAAGAGACAAAAATAAGCACTGAAGGGCAGAAGGGTAAAGCTGGGTTTATTGAGGGCTAACTACATTAGGATTGACTAAAAAGAAAAGAAAAAACAACCCAAGCATGTTCAAACTGCAATCCAAGCAAAATTTATTTTTAGTCCCTCGATTATTGCGAGTTTCATAATGGGATTTTGAGGCCCTGCCGTTGTCTCCCATTAGCACAGGCTCTGTTATATATTCTGCAGTGTCGTGGTGGGAAATGATTCATGGCAGGGCTGGGATTTGACATTCGAGCACAAAGATGGGGAAAAAAAATGTACTTTGATTCACCACGTTTCAAAACCAAAACTCACCCTCAGATGAAACTTAAGTTCTTGAAAGTACTGCATAAAAACAGAAGCCATAGAAGCCAAAGCCAGGGACCAACACTTAACTTTTATTAACTGGGAAAATTATATTGGTATTGGTAAAGCACCACAAGGCCCTTGCCAGAATGCACTGCTCAAAATTCACCTGCGCTGCCCCTGCCTGTCTGTGACAAGGGGGATTGCAGCTCAAATGGTGCTGGACTGGCAGGTCAGAAATATGGCACTTACCTGGCTACGAGATTGATCCAGTCAACCAACGTGAAGGGTGATGCTGCAGCTGAAAGACCCACTGTAATTACATCACTTGATCCAGAAATAAAGACAATGATGAAATGTTTTGAAACCACTTGCTTCCCATAGACCAAAGTAAGACTCGGCGATGACAGTGTTACACAGACAATGGTCACTGGGGTAACTTTTAAGTGTCTGTTGCTATAAAGCAGGAAAAGGTTATTTTCCATACAGTAGGATTTCCCACCAAAAGCACTGCAGAGGAGGGATCAGACACAATTCCCTGTTGCCCAGATAAGAGTCGAATGGGTGAAGTCAACCTGCCCTTTGCAGCTACTGACAGGGTGATTTAGAGGAAAAGGCAATGGCACCCCATGGTGTGACTCTTACTGAGACACAAGCACAACATGCTGGCCCTGAATCACGGTCAGGAGATTTTCAAGACTCACTTCCTTAATAACACGAGGCCATGCACAGAGTCTCACCCCTGCAAATGGCTCAACAGCATTAAGGATTATCAAGTCATTCAGTTCCTGCCTATGAGCTCTGCCCTCAGCCTCTCAGACCTTATCTGAAGTCAACTGAAAGAGTGTCACCATCTCCAGTAAGTCTTGGGGCAAGACCATCAAGCCAGTCATTTCTGTTCTACGACGGCACAGCACGATTTCTCACCCATGCACTAAAGATTTGGACTGTCCCATGAGCTGATCTTGAGTCTGCTTGAAGCAAAACCAGTAATACAGCAATCCTGAGCAAGAGAAATCCAGGGAAATTCTGCTCCTTGAACAGAAGCATTCCTGGGAGACAACATACATAAAACATGACTTAAAGGAAGATTAACTTTTATTCAGATGATCTCTTAAGAAGTTTCCATTCTCATGTGAAGGATGAACACTTTTATTATGGGGAGAGGCTGGCTAATCTTTAACCAGGAATTTACAAGAGATTCTTAAAACAGACAACAAACAGTTTACGAAGCTTCATAAGATCTTTTTATTCTGAAGAGTTTGTACTGTGAATGCTACCAGATTGATAGCTGCACTATGAAAGAAAGAACAACTTAGGCGATGTGAAATGCCCAATAAATCCTGACTGGGAAGATCACCTCCGGCTACAACAGAGGGAACTCAGCCAAAAACCCATGCTGAGGGAAGGATTCAAAGGAATTGTGTATGCAGTCCAAGTGTTTTCCAGAAAAAGTTGGACCTTGGGCTAGTAACTGAGTTCAAAGCCATGACAAAGTGAGTGGCAGGTGACTGATGCCACCATTTTACATAGTCATAGGTCTCTAGCTGATGCTGGAGCTGATGAAAAGAATGTCTTTAGCTTCAATGAATATTAAAAGCAGATCTGTGCCCAATTCACCAGTCTCATAACCCATACTCAGAAAACCCCAACTCAATCTCTCTAGTTAATTAACACGATTTGTTATCAGGTAGAAATGTGATTCCTGGGAGGTGCATAATCACCACATGTGTTTCCTGCTGCAAGAAAGAAAAGCGTATGCATACCCCAATGTCTCCAGAAAGCTTGAATGGAAAAACCCTTTCGTGTCAGAAGTTTATTTTTATTGGTAAAATATTAAATAATATACAGAATTAAAAACTGCACTTACACTTCTGAGAAGAAATAATTCTTGGACAAATTATATGCTTGTTCCTGAGATTCCCTACATTTATTCCAGTAGCTGTGCACTCAAGACAGTACAAACCTTTATAATATAATCCTTTTCACAAAGTATTACAAAGTTTCTGCAGCTTCTTTATTTATACACACATACGGACTCCCACTCTCACATGGCTGTACAACACTCACACAGGTACAGAGTACACACATACAGATGTGCAACCATATGTATGCATGTATACTAAGAAGAAAATAAAAATAACAACAAGTCCCATAGTTCAGTCTATAACGGCAAAACATTTTTAGCAGAGAGATACAGGTTTACATTAGGGTTGCTCACATGCACCACTGTCATGGGGATCGTTTCTGAACTCCTTTTATAAGAGCATGTTCCAATGAGCACATAAAGAAATGGGACGATTCCCAGCGTCTTCACTGCCTTTTGGAAAGAACTCTGATTTCATATTTTTAGTTGCTATTTTTTTTTAATTTAAAAGATTCCTCGATCTGAGCTCAGAACATCTATCACAGAACGAGAAAATCGTTAACCTGGGAGAGAAGGGGTTATTTGCCAGATTACTCACCCGGCTTTCTTTAGGAAAACAGCACTAAAATGGGCAGTGTATGAGCCAGGGAAGATGCAAACAGATCAGACCCACAGCCTGAGCCTACGTTCCCTAAACGGTGCTGCCTTGCTCTGATCCCACTGCCCCAGTGTGGTCCCCGTTTGCAGGAGGACCCAAACCACCCCCAGAGGGGTTCCACAATTTGGCCCAAGGACCGTGACCCCGTGGGCACCACGGCAGTCACCCACCCAATGCGTGTTTCCTCTTGACCTCAAACGCAAGGGTCTGGGAGATTATTTTGGCAATCAATCAGAAGGGGATACAGTCTCTTCACCTTTGTTATTATTAAAAAGAAATCTCTTAAATACAAATTTAAAAGACAAAAGTGGCTACTGTGCATGCGCAGTAACTGCCTTTCGAAGAAATCTCAAGGGGATTTTATTATTTTTTTTTTTTATTACGTACCTAAATACATATTTACAGAACGGCGGCTTCGGTCTACTGGGGAGGAAAAAGGCATTAAAAATACACTATATATAAATATGTATGATATGTAAAACAAGTCCCATCTAAACTTATATAAGACAAGGACAACTCTAAAGAAGCTTTTCTGGTCTCTCAGGTAGATAAAGGACATGAGTCCTGTAATTCTTACACAGGCAAATCTCTCCCATTACAGTAAATGGCAGTTTTGCCCTAGCTAAGAGATTAGGCCTAATCCAAAATCCATCATCAAAGTCAACAGAAGTCTCCACTGACTGGCTTTTGGATCAGACCAAAAAATCTTTTTATTTTTTCTTGTTTTTAATAAACATCAATATTAAGTGCTTTTCTTAAAAAGAAAGCTGCAATTAGAAAAGAAGAGGAAGGAGGAGGCAAGAACAAGTATGTCCTTAATTCTGGATGTGGATGTGTTTCAATGCCAAATAAAAGCAGGAGGTAAGTTATGGGCTTTAGCCTAAATTTACAGTTCCTCATGTTTTGTCAGTCACGATATGAATTTACTCGAACCATACCTTTGAATGCATTTAAGACAGAGCCTTTTGTTTCACTGATTTGTGTGGACTGAGGAAGGAACACAGAAACCACTGTACACTAATAAGACGTCAGGGAAAATATTGCACTTGAACAGAAAATTTGCCCAAAAAGGTGGTTTTCTTGGTGATTTTTGTTTTTAAAACTAATATAAGCAAATCATCCATGTCTGCAATGAGCACGTTTAGAAAGCAGGATCCAAGAATGAAGCATAAGAAGAAAATTTGGGGTTGGTAACCCCCACCCTGGAATACAACAGTAGTAAAACTTTTTTTAAAGCATTTTCTTCCAACAGGAAAAAAAAATTGACCTTTTTTTTTTTTTTACTTTACAGTTTTAAATTTTTCTAAACATTTGCATTAAAAGTTTCCAGTTTCTCATAAAAAGATACACATTTTAGGAAAAAAAAAAACAAACAGAAAATAAAACCAACTAAAAAGGAAGGCAAATATACAGTATTATAATTACATCACTGTGGAGTCATCTTGAAGGTACCCTAGGTCTTTAAAGTGTTACAAAGAGTATGTACCTTATTTTTTTTTCTCAAATCAACTAGTTTTTTTTTTTTCTTTTTCCTGTTTTTAATAAAAAACTACACTTGAGTACAAAAATATGTAAACAGACTGTACAGCCAATGAACAAAAAACCCCCCCAAAAAACAACCCCCCCAAGCCCCTAGACAGCCCAAAGCTACAGGAGATAAGAGCAGGCCCAGACTTAAAGCTCCAAGAAGGAAAAGGGGGAAAGAGAAAAGCATGGAAAGCCAGAGGAGACTGCTACATGGCGGAGGAAGTGAACGTGTTCAAGCTCTGAGGACACTTGACAATTCGTCAAATAATTGATCACAGTTTCAGAATCCAAACGACTACAAAAATAACCAAAGAAGTCCTTCCCTTGTTACAGTGTGTTCAGGAACGAACATCCATTTCCAGTAAGCAACGTCAAATCCCAGTAAGTGCATAGTAGGGATTCAGTGACCTCTACCCCTGCAAGAAGCTTTTCGTGCTCGATGTCACTTGAGGTAAAATTAAATGGCCCGATTTACTGCAAACTGGCTCCGCTATGCCCATAACAGAGTCATGCTCCCCACCACGCCTTGCGGGAGGCATCCATATTTCATCCCTGACTGGTAGTACAGACCAGAGACTGCCGGTACCCACGTACCGCCGAGTGCCAGGGATTAAGGCTGCTACACAAAAGTAAGGGAATGGGGAACGCACCTTCAACGCTGACAACAGAGACCTGCCCAGAGCTGCTGTGCTGCACCCACTGCCCTGATCCCACAAACCACGGTAATGGTTCAACAGTTAACTGCAAGGCTCCTGTGCACTTCCAGATCTCACTGAGGGGATGGCAGGAGGCTGATCGTGCTCAAATGTTTTCCTGGGCAGCAGTGCAGTTGCCTAAATCAACATTGCCGGAGGAAGGAAGCATCAGGCCCAGCTTTGGGTCAGGCTGCTCCCTTTCTCCCACAGCATCCACATGATACAAGCCCCTCTAAAGACATGATCTGATGAACTTCATTGTCATTCACTCTTGAAATACTTCACGTACTGCCAGTAAATACATCACAGTATTTTTATTTTTTTTTGCAACTGTAAATAATATTGGGGTTTACTACAGCTTTGTTAAAATGGTCATTTCTGTCCACTAATTACTTAGGTCCCAAGATTTGTATGAAAAGGAGAAGTTTTCACAGAAGGAGAGAGACAGCTGAGGATCCAAGTGAGCATAACGATAACCACCTTTCCAAAGGCTGGAAGTGAACAGGAACTGGGAATGCTTGCCTGCATGATCAACTGGGAAGCTAGGTGAACTAAACAGAGACCATTTTTATTGTTTTCCTGGCCTGTTAAGCATGCAGCATGGCAAAGCCTTAGCACACCCCTCCTTCTGACTATCCTCTGGTCAATTCAGACCCTTGGTGGAGAAGAACACAAGCAGCCCCTTCAGGCGTGGTTGTAGGAGGTCAAATTAGAAACCCATGATGTTCTCCTTTGCTTATACCTCAGAACACATCAATGAGAAACAAGGGAATCTATTTACTATGAAGCAAGTCCTGCCTCTTTTCTACCTAATTCCTCCCCTCCCCTTCCCTGTGAGTACCTTGGGCCCAGACCCCCCAGAGCAGTGCTAAGGAGCTGGCACTGGGCTGCCACCAGGCTCAGGCTCTCACCAAAAACATGCTGGCCCAGCCACCTTCCCCACGACAGGCTCCACACCTCGGCTGTGCCAGCACTCAGACACTGCATCTATGCAGGGTGAATAATTAGACCTGAAACTAGGTCACCAACCTGCCAGGAAAGTACTGAAACACCGTGCTCGTCACCGCAGCGATGAATGAATCCAGCGGACAAACCTCCTTAACAACTTCTACTGATGGGCTTCTCTCATCTCTACACCAATTATTGGGGTGGCAGCAGCCTGACAGGCAACCTTGCAAACCACTTCCCATGGGCTCACCGCATTTCTTTTTCCAGGTTGAAGTAAGTAGCAGGTGCTTATAAGTCTGCTCCTGTTCCTAAGTGGGAACTTTAAAGGAGAGAAAAGTCCACTTCCAAGTGTGCTTCATTTAAAGCTCTGAGGGGGAGAAAACAGGAGACGTTGCCCTGGCGCTCCACAGCGCACGGTGCAGCCGGGGGCTCCCACGGCAGGTCTTGGCATCGCGCTGGGGATGCTGTGCCGGCTGGGACCAGCTCCCAGACCAGCTCTGGCTGGACAGCTGGAATGCAGTTTGCTAGAGTAGTTTTCAGCCCTTCCCTCTCCTAAAAGCCAGTTGACTCCAGGAAATCTCACAGCAAAGTACCAGCTCCTCTCTCCGGGTCAAGCTGCCAAGGAGGGTGCAGAGCAGGAGAAGGGATGTTTCCTTTGGGTTGGTTTTTGCCGTGCATTCTGAAAGGGTGTGGGAGGATATCATGAACAACATCATGATCTCCCAAAATGCATTTGGAAAAGGCACATATACAATAAAGCATATATCTAACTATACAATACCATATATATATATATTTATATATTTATAAATATACTTTCTCAAGCTCTCCAGCTGCCCCAGACCATAGGCCATTCCTACCATCCATTTTTGTTTTTAAAAGCTTGTGAGCCAAGCTAAGACTTCTAGTGGCAAATTTCTAGTGGCAAAGCCAATTCCATCACACTTTTCCTGAAATCCCACTCTGACTTTAGGTGATTCTGGTATCAGTGCAGCTTCCTTTCTCCCTCCTCATTACATTATAATCACAGCAAGAGTTAAAGAAAGGAATTTATCCAGCAAAGGAACTGTATTATTGTAGCTCCTGTCCTTGGCTGAAATAAGCACCTTTGCCTCAATTATCTCCAAAGTTTCTTTCTGGAAGAAGGAGTGTCTGTTGTCTGGCTTCTTTCAAATCTGAGCAAGCAAGCTCAGGTCCTGGACAACAGCAATAATGTCCCATTAAAGGCCAGTTTTGAAGGGTTTGATTTAATTACTGACCTCCTGCCTGACAACACAAATTTAGGAATGCCCTTGTAAACAGAAGGAAATTTGGAAACTCTTACAATCGAGAATTTCTTCGCCTTGTAGTAAACATACTTTAGGTCCACATGGCTATTTTGTGAGTTGGGTCCTCGCATTGCAGAAACTCGCCCCATTAAAAACCAGGCCAATTAGCCAATTTAGATTCTTTCTCCCTAATACAGACTGATACAGGTTGATGCCTAGACACCTTCACATCACAGCATGGATGAAAGCACTTTTTAAGGAGATTAAAACTGTTTTAATCTCATAAGTTACTGAGCGAAGAGCTGGTTTTACTGAAAAATGCTATATATTTTGATGTGCACTCCTAACCGATCGCAAAGAGAGGTGGCTGTAAAATTCATCAGCCATAACTGCAGATATATAGATAATGCCCTTTGCTCCAAGGCTATGGATCACACCAGGAACAGAACAAGCAGTCACACTTCTACTTCAATTATTAGGCTTGTAATCCTCTAAACTGAGGCAGAACCTTGCCATTTTTGATGTAAAAGAAGCAGAGGGGTTTACTGGCAGGGATGTGCACAGAAATGACCTTTTTTAAAAATTATTTTTAATGAAAATGAGGAATGCTCACAGGAAGGCAAGTCTAGATTTGCAAATGCGTGTTTTTAACTGGAAACTTGATTCCAAGAATTTCAGAAGAGTCCGATAAAAACCAGTCAGGTTCGATTTCCAACACCAAATACTCAGAATAAATGGATGTGCAGGCCAAAGATTAGCTACTGAAATTCCGAGTACACTGCGAATGACTAACGAACTTGTCAAAAGTCAAGAGCTTTTCTTAGAAGTCTGCAGTGAGCAAGCAAGAGAAAAACCCAAAGAAATCTCTGCGACCCCATTTTGCACACTTCTGTGAAGGGACAAACTGTGTTACATAAAACTCTCCAATAATTTTCAGCAGGAATTAAATTCTTAAGTACGTGTTAATCCAAAATTTTGTTCAAAATTTGAACTAGAATTCAAACTTTCTCCTTTTCCTAGCTCTAGGTTGAAAATCTTTAATGAATATTCAGAAAAGGACACTGATAATAAAAATGAACATAAAATTCTCCAAAAAACGTAGGTTTTGGAAGATAACTCCCCAGTGCCTCCCCAGTTCACTATGCCCGTGACACCAGGACATATAGATCTCACTTGCTACCCTTAGAACAAGAAGCTGGGCTTAGCTGAACCAGCGAGCCTCCCCATCTGATCCCTTAAACATCTACAGAATACACCCTACAGGAGGTATCAATGAGTCATCAGTGAACCAAAGTGCACACTAACTGCAGATACAATTACAGCCAACTTCTTTGTGGATACACAAGAGATTTTCTGCCTTTCCCGTATTCCGGTGCTTTACCAAACAAAGGCAGAAATTTTTAACACTTTTTCCCTAGCGCTAACTATTCCAAGAAACCATAGCCCATGTTTTTTCACTGACCACAGAGGGGAAAATGGAGTGTTGCCCCCAGAGAATGAAAGGAATTGCTGGCAGCCCTTTTCTCTGGTTTGGGCATGTGTCTTTCTGGAGGCCCAGACAAGCCCAGCAACCTTGAGGCCCAGCACCTTCCTCTTTGCGCCTTGTTCTTAAAAGACCTTTCCTGTCTCGGCAAATCACAACCACTTTTTTCTTTCTTTTCAGAATTTCCAGGCAAATCCTGATGCAAAACACGGCCAGCCACCTCCTAAGCCAACCTTCCTAGCTGCAGAGAATCAGCCATACAGAATAAAAGTGATGCCCTCCAGCGTTTCTCTGCTTTTCTCCTGCACAAACTCCTTTCACTACACCAGGCACAAGACAATGAGAATGGTCTGGAGGATGGCAGTGGCTCATTTGCCTGAGTTTCCTCTACATTAGGATGAAGAAGGAAGGAGGGGGAGGAACCCAACGACACTAAGAACAATGTTGGGAATAGATCTTTAAATCTGTCTCTCCAAAGCCTGTATATTCCCAGCCTTGATAGCTCTCACATTACACAAGATGACATTTCTCTCCATATTCTAATTAATAGGCTACTGCAAGACTTTACCAGCTAATACTTAATAGCATTGCAGTGCTGGGAAGCAGTCATCAGGTAATCTGGCCATGATCTACTGTATCCTTTCTAAACACAGGTTCTAGCTGCCAAGAATGTCACCATAAAAAGATTTCAATCAATACCACTCAGCTCCTACTTTCAAATGCTCCAGGTCTAGGAAGAAAAGAAGAAAAAAAACCTGGTACCCTCGAAACGAACAGCAAACTGGCATACACATGGAGTGCACAGATTGAAGGGAGCAGATGGAAATTCATTATGGCCTGATCTTGCTCTCTCTTTTATACTTTAGTAACTTTATACTTTGGAAAAGGTCTCCCCAGGCGCATGGAGACCGTGTGCACAGAGGGGGTTAAACCCATGCAGATCTTTCCATTCTCAAGCTGTGCTCTTGTTGCCAAACAACAACATTTCAATTGTGATTGGTACAAACAGTTGGGTTTCAATGGCAATCTGTCCTGTAGGTTTAAGCCCAGCTTTTACTGATGCAACTTGCTGGGTGGTTGCTGGCTTTGTTATTTACAGGGAGAGAAAGAAAGGAAACAAAACAGATCAGTGGACTTTTTTTTTCTTGTCCAGTCTGTGGGTCAAGGACTTGCTCTGGAGCGTGTTTCTCCATTTGTTTTCGCCACAGTGAAATTAATATATTAGGAATAAAAATGAAATCTGCAAATCCAAATCAACGCACGGCACCTGCATCTCCACTGATCGCTTTCTGAAAAAGTAGGGAAGGTCATATGCATCCTGTTGATGTGAAAGGCTTCTGTGCTCTCCAGCAAAATCTGCTGACACTTGCACCCCTAAATTAAAGCACAATTGATGACTTAGAAACAAAAGGAAATCACCGGTTCAGCAAATTAGCAAATAAGACGTCAAAAGGAGAAAAACCAGTCAAGGCTCAGATCCTGATGTAGCTGAAGGAGTTGGGGCAGTTCCATTGAATTCAATGGAGCTAAGAGGATTAATGCTGGCCAAGGATCTGGCTCCCATCACTTTCCCAGCTGCAAGTCTTAGTTTAGGCTGTTTCCAAGAGGTTAATACTGTGATAATAGAATGAGAAAGTATTTACATAATTATATATCTATATATACCTATATTTAAAGAACATGTTTTTACTAGTACTTTTGTCATTTTAAAATCCATCATTTCAAACCGAAATTATTTCAGAAGAGCAGCAGAACCTCTTGAGTAAACTACAGACTCTCACCCACTCCTAGGCCACTTACTGTCCTAAAAGCAAGTTTAAATGTTATTCCTAAATGCTCTCTCTTAAAAGTTAGGTCTCTTAGAAGCCAGTGAGACAACACATAGGCATGGAGTAACAGAATACAAACAATCCTAAAAAAGGTGCTTCATAAGTTAAGGAAAATAATAATACAAAGCCTCAGACTCACCACAGAAGGCCCTCAGACTTATGAAACTAAACTGCTGTAATGTAGTACAGTGTTAAGACATACATTTCCTTTTTTTTTTGCTTTTTTTTATAATTTATTTACATTCTAGAGGGGCAATACACACTGAACCCAGGAAAACAGCTCTCCCTTGAAAGTAACTTTGATTCATGCTCCTAACTCCCTAACAGTTTTGCTTTAAAAATAATTGTTCATTCCGCAGAATAAAGCTCCCCCCCTCTTCTCCAGCCACCAAGACCCCGCACAGTAACTACACGTTAGAAAAACACTCTCCTCTGAAATGTTTCTACCTATTCCTCTGAAATTGTAAATGAGTGGCATCTTGTTGGGACTTGAAAGCACCTAGAAGGGTTGAGTGATATCCCAAAATAGGACATGGTGTACAAGTGACTGAGACAGACACGGACTGCCTTCCAATTCCCACAGAAAGCGACGCAGGTCACTCCCCAGAAAGTGATGGCAACAACAAACCCCTCTTTTATCCCTTCCCTTCCTTCTTTCTATTCTTAAGCTGGGCAGAGCAAATGAGGTTGGGTCCACAAAAAAATAAGGTTAATAATAATAATTAAACAACAGCAACAACAACAACAGCAACAACAACAAAATAGGCGTTTCAATGTCCGAGGAAAAGTGGGATTGTAAGTGCAGTATTTCTTCATGTGCAGTTCTTCTACTTCATACGAGTCCCCTTTGGATGAGAAGGCCTAGCGGAATGTGTGCTCCCCTCGGACTATGTGCGACGAGAACTCATAGCGGTCCTGGCTCCGGTAGCCACAGATGTTGCACTCTAGAGGGTCCCGGTAGCCGTGGCAGCCCATGTGGATGGTGTACATGACATGGTCCAGGAAAAGGACCCGACAGTGCTCGCACTTGAAAGCCCTAATCTGCTCCCCTTCTCCGTTGATCACCTTGTAGATATCCTTTAAAGAGCCCTTAGAAGCTTTTGTGACATCCAAAGCCTTGGTGTCCTCCTTCATATAAGCCGGGCTTGGCTTTCTCTTGGGATTTAAGGCAGAGTTTCCTTGGTAGGACTGGCGGTCATCGTGGCTGCTCTCTGAGTCAGTAGAATCCAGGCAGCTATTGCTGGGGGAGCCCTCTCTATCCTGGGTTCGACTCTTTGGTCTGATGAGGGAGATCGGGCCATCCATGTTGTTGTCGTGACTGTCGGCTGTTTCCCTGCTGATGGGCCTCTCTATCCTGTTGGGATGATAGACCTGAGCGTAAGCTGAGCTGATGACCGGCGCCACCTCTGCAATTGTGCTTGGTGTGTGCTGCATCAGGGGGTGAAGTGCCTCAGCTCCAAGGTAGGTGATTGCATTGTTGATGGCTTGGTCCATCATGTGAGACTGCATCAGCTCAGCCTCCTTCTCATAGGTTAGGTTCATATCAAAGGGGATGTCTGGATAGCCAAATCTCATGAGCTTTTCACCTACGAGATAAGAGAAACGCATGAGGAAAATCAATGTAATCCCTCCAACGTGTCACTTAAAAGGGGTAGAGAGGGACGGAAAACCCCTGACCTGGGGTGAAATTATTCCAGAGTCTAAACTTAATCTTCTGCTTGTTTACTAACCTCCTGCAAAGCTCCTGTCCTGGGATGGGTAAAACAGCAACCTCACCAACAGCTTTTTTTTGTTTTATTCCAGGTGATGCATGCAGCTGCAGTGACTTCCAGAGCAATTCCAAACCTTTCACTGTGCCTGACTGCGCTTGTGCTTTAAGTTGGGAAACACAAGTTAACTGGTAGATAATGGGACTGAAATACTGAGGTCAATAAGGTCTGACAGTTGATGCCATTAGACATACTCTCCCCAAAATTCAAGGGAGCAGTACCACATACCTCCTACAGTCCAAGGCGCATCATACCTACCTTACAACAGGGCTGCCTAGTGAGAAACCAAAACAACAGGTACAGGGGGTTGTTATGGTGCTGCCTTTAGAGCCACAATATGTAAATCCTTTAGCCAGTGGAAAAAAATGTAAAATGACTGCAGGTAGCCAAGAACGGAGCAAGTTTCAGGAGCACTGGAGGCTGATCTTTCTAGTTTCCCCCCCTTCAAATAAAAGATTCTATCCTTTTTGGACGGAGCAAAAAACACACACACACACACACACAGACTTCCCTTCCCAGTGTCTATTTAGGCAAGAAAACAAATAGAGAAACCACATGTATAGCTTTTGGTAAAAGGTAAAAGCCCCGTTCATTGACACAGGCTAAATAAATACATAATGATGCTGAAGCTGGCTGATTCTTCACTGTGTGAATCCAAATTCACATCCCTGTAACCTTTTAACATCAATGGCATTACAGATGTGTGCAACCAGAACCACATGCTGGTACATTATGGCAGTCACAGGGCAGCATGTTACATCTCACAGCTCTCCTTGTAAGAAGCTCTCCCCTACTTACACATCAGGGCTCAGCACAGCTGCTTTTCCAGTGATGGCTTTGGAGTGGCTGTACAAGGAAAGTTTCATGTAATAACTTCTTTTTAAATAGAAAAGGTTATATGTATGTGATACAAGATGTACGTGCTCATGGGTGTTCACACATACAAATATTAGCTGGTTGTTCACTTTTAAAGGCGATTTTATGAAGTCTGATAAATTTTGGTTGGTTTCTATTGTCTTTGTTACTTCATTGCCTCGGTACATAAAACCAGATTTTTTTTCAATAGTGTAAGTTAATAAATTCAAGGAGTTGCTACTTACAACTGGTCTGGCTATCCAAGAATTAAATTACTCAAGAATATTCTATCACCTTTTGCCAAAATTGCTTGGAACGCAACGTGTATAAAACACCATAAGAAACAGAACTGTAATCCAAAATCTCTTCCAAACTGCATTAGTACATTTCGACACAGCTATCACTCCACATTTCATTTTTGACTGTAACAATTCAGTCCACTCAGTGTGACTTATTCTAAAGTGATGCATATAGAACAGCCATGTAATCCTTAGAGATGATGCATCACTTCTGCTTGGGAACTTAGCCCTGATTAGCGAGGTAATTAAATATAAGTCTAAAGTGAAGCACATTAATATTCTTACTCTCTTCAGCAGTACTGTTCACATGCTTTCAAGTGGACCAACCATTCCAGTTGTGTACCTCACAACCTTTCCCTGCTACAACGATGGTCTAGGTAATCTAACGTGACCTGTGGATGATTCTTGTCATCACACCTCTTTTCATGCTTCTGCTGTGCTCTGGCAGTCTGTGATGGCTGTCCTGCTGCAGATGGGATGGGCAGCTCTGAAACAGGACAAGGCTCCAGCCTCCCAGGAAACAGTGCAGCTCCTTCCCAAGTGAGGCCAAAGTGGGACTGGAGGACAGCTCCAGGAGGCATTTGGTGTCTTTGTCACAGTGGAAGAAAGCAATGAAAATGGAAATGGTCCCTGTCACCTGCTGTGGCCATTCCCATGCTTGAATAAAGAAATGGATCTGCTGAGGGTCTGATTCAGCCAAGAAAGACACTGTCAGTTCTTTGCAGGCTGTAGAGATCAAGAAATATTATCTATCCTTTATGGACTACTTGGATAAACGATGCAAACCTTATTTTGATTCCTTTTATCATCCATGTTTAGTTACTCCAGCACAGACAGCAGAGAAAGCTGTAAATTGCCAGTGACCTGAATTATTTATTCCTTTAATTATGATCCAGTTCCAAAGATCTCAGAGCCTTAGAAATGGAGCATGACATAAAAAAATAAAATAAATGATGACATTGGAAGGAACCAACAAATATGAGCTCAGAAGCTGGACAAACAGTCCAACAAACCACTACAGTGTGGTTTCCAAATTAAATTCCTCTTTAGCCAAATCTATACTTAAAAATAACTAATCGGACTAATTATTCCGAATTTTCATGTAAAACTATGTTCAAATTCTATTTATTCTTGCCCTACATTAGTGAAGTAGATGAAGAAACAGTCTCTCATGTCAGTCTCTCATATGACATTCAAATAACCCTCAAAGCAGGTATTTGAAGCCAGATCAAAGCACACAGACATAGCTGTCCTGTGATACCTGCAGTCCATCTCATCAAGTAGCTAAAGCCGCTGCAGCGCTGGACACTTGGGAGAAAGCTGCAAAAAATCCTGGAGAAAGCCATTACAGAATTAACCCCTGGCTAAATTTCTCCCTGACTCCCATTAAGTGGAAGCTGACTGTAATTTTGATGTTGGTTGATCTTCATCTGTTCTGAGATGCCTGTGTATTTTTAATTTTTACTCTAACAACCATGGTCTTATTGTAAGCCACATAAATGTCTTGCTTTGCATCCTGCCAGTTCTTAACCTCAGTGACACTGTGAGAGTAAGCACCACATTCAAACTGAAAATACATGAATCTGCTCCACATGATCAGCCTGAAGATGTCTGCTTTTAATTTAACTGGTGTCTGCCTCTCCCTCATTGAACGAGAGGCAAAAAGAAGTAATCAGACCCCTGCACTTCATAAGTTATACTTTCTGCCTCCACTGTTTCAACAGGTTTGGTAAGACTACTACCTCAACAGCAGATACATAACCACATCTCTCACACAGAAATTAATTCTATTTGCTGTATGCTGTTTCCTTTCCTCCTCAAAATTTAGCCAGAGTAGAGACTGTGGTCCATAACCACGGTCCCTTGGAGATTGCTGATCAGAAAGAGCAGTAAAGCATTGATAGATGTAGCATGCAAAGATTTTAGCTTATGCTTACATGACCTTCTCATAAACACCATTAAGTTGTTTTGGACAAGTGCCATACTTGCAGTATGCACAGGAAAATTTCCTGCAAGCAAGAGAACCATTAACAAGTTCTTCCTGATGGAGCTGAACAATATTTCATTGGGGAGAAAAAAGGGAAGAAAAGTGAGGTCATGGTGGAAAAAAAAAAAGGCAGCAAAGTGAAGACTGCTGTTATTCAACTCAAACACTGTGATGTCATTAAAGATCAGAAAAGGCAGAAAAATATGATCTAGTAAGTATGACAGAGGACACTTTTTCTCCTACAGCTAGATCTGGATAAAAACCTGAAACCTGGAATTCCTAGTCCCAGAAAAATGGAATACCAAAATAATCTGTTAGACCTGTAGACAAAACATGTTTATCTAACAATATAGTATAACCTGCTGAAGAGAATAATAATGTGCATCTCTCAGGCAAGGATTTCCCATCAGTAAATTTACCTCTGAAGACAACAACAACAGATGGTCAATGGCGCATGAGTGGACAAGCAAAATAACTTTTCTGGTCTGAAAAAAAACCTACCATCTACAGCTTCCAAAAACTGATTCAATTTATACCATCCAAACAGTGGCTTGCCTCAGTTGTGAGGTATCCTGGTCATGAGCAAGCTGCACTGCTTATGGGAGCAGTGTATGCTGGGTATGCCAGGAGTTTAGGGAGGGCAGTAAGATCTCTAGCCCTCCCGGATCTGGTCTCCAGCCCTGCACAGATAACCTCTGTGAGGCACTGCAAACACAGCTCTGTTCCATGGACAAGCTGGGAGAAAAAAGAGTGAGAGGTGTGAACTGCCCTTCTTCCTTTTGAGGCTGTAAGGTCTCCGAGGTTCAGAAGCACCAGCTGAAGTGTCAGCGTGTTTAACTCCTGCCCCTGGTGATCCCAGCCCGCAGGAACCCATAGAGCTTGCTGAAACACCACCAGGGAAACCTGCTGTGGTGGGGCCAAGTTTACCAGCTCATAAACCTGTATGTGGCTTGTCAGTAGAGCAGTGCTCCCATTTCCACCCTCTTCAACCCCAGCTGTTGTCAAAGCAGTAAATTAAATGAGAGTATAAATCCTGCAGTTCTTATCAGCTATATAGCACTTCATTTCAGACCACTTTTAAAGACAACAGTCCAAGAAATAAGCTTTCCTCTCAGAACTAACAACATAGGAAACACTGATGTCTCCCAGCATTCCTCATGTGGGTTGGATCATTCCTGACCCAACCTCAGCTCAGCACTGATATTTGGGCATGGTCAGCTGACCGAGAGCAGCCAGGTCAGTGTGTCAGCCCCGCAGGTGAGCTGCTGCATGCTGTTGGCCCCCTGCTATTCCAAACCCTGTAGGTTAGTTACAACCACCATCAGTGGTGATTTAACAAATCCATCTGAATCTGCATTTAGCTGAGGGGCAAAAACTTCTCTAAATAGCTCTGTTAATTGCTTACATTCTCTGATCTTCTCTGTAAGTGCCTTCAGAATGAGGATGTGACACCCTGATGTTCTGTGTGACTGTCCTTCCAGGGAGTGAGCATGGAAAACACCTATTACATGACTTTAGAGTCTGGCAGCATACACTTACCCCAAATAATTCTCTGTTCCAGCTTCCCTCCTAAGAAGTTTAGCACTGCTTCAGTAGCAGTAAAAAGAAGCTTTAAGTTACAGCTCAAACCAAGTAAAATTCTCCACACTGTCTCCTGTTACAAGCTGAGCAATTTTAATATGTCAAGACACAAAGCAAAATATGAATTCTGGGCCTATGATTCTAAATCTGATAACCAAAAGCCATCCAATGCTGTTTCATATTCATGCATTAGTAAGTTTATTGTGTGCAGAGTGCTGCACTTGGAGCAAGCACTTCTTCCAACACAAGGGATGCAATTTACTTCCTCATGCCAGTATTATCAGACCAGTTGTTGCCAACTCTTAGGAATTTAATACATCTTGAGATACTTGTTTGTTTTTTTAACACATATAGAGACAGATAATTATATGACAGTCTTAGCTTGCTGGGTTTTTTTTGCTGGAGCAAGGAGAGGGAAGATGACAAGTTTAAATCTCAAAAGGGTCAGAGAAAAGTTTTTTTAAAAAACCCAAAACAGCCTAAGATAAAAGCTCAAGGTCTTCTACAGCATTTGCATGATACCAGGGGTCTAATTTTTGAATTTTCTGGGTCGGTAAAATTACTTCAATGATTTTCAGGATTTCTTGCTGTCATTTAACCCTCTCCATTGTTATCTCACAACCAAGTTCCAAGAGTGCTACTACTTTCCCCTTGTTCTTTTGGCTATTACAAATAACAAGTTGCCTACACCTCCACACTAAAAATAATAAAAGGCATATTTCCAGCTTACCCACAAACTTCTGTGGGGTGGAGCTTTTACGCTTTCCCATGTTGCTTGTCAGCTTCTCTATAACAGCAGGTCTCTCAAAAGGCACCACAGAAATATTGTTGTCCATCACAGGCTCTTGTTCCTTACAATCTTCCATAGGAGGTACTACATAAAACCAAAAAATCATATCAGACAGGTCTGGTCCACACTTCACAGACAACACAAATCATTTGAGCTCTGCTGACTGTGCAACAAGTGCAACACAACATAAAGCAAGGTGCAAGAACACACTGGGCATCAAGACAGCAATCACTTGTAAGCAGAACCACATTGACAAAACACCTCTCATTGGGACCATCTTATTTAGCAGAAACCCAACTTTATTAAAGGACTTGTTTTGTTATGGACACTCAAGATCCCCAGAGAGGAGGGGACACTTCTGAAAACTCACTCTGTAGATGACATTTTGTGTTATTTCCCCTTCCATATGGTCACCTGTAGCCAATGTAAATGTTTAGTTATCATTCTTTGTGTATTCCATTAACTTCACACTTATCATACAGAATACCTACTCTTATTATTACTTTTTTGCACTAATCTCAATGATTAAAAATCACACAAGACATCAACAAGCTGTGTTTCCTGGGCCTGTCTGTGTGTTCCCTAAGACAAGTCTTCTCAAATGAAGGATCAGTTTGCTAAAGCATGTTTCCTCTTTCTACATGTGAGAATGTAAAATCAACACACACTGTACTGGAATTACGGGATTAACATCACATGGAAAACCCCTTCAAAATCAGATGTAGAAACTATCAATTTTTGAGTAATATTTTATCCCCTCAAACACAGATCTAGCAACCTGTGAATGGAGGTTTTCTGCATCTGTCTTACCACTTTTTTGGAATCTGCAGGGATCATTCCTGTGCTAACCACAGCGAGGGAATGCTCACACATTGTCTTTGAGACAACAACAAGAAATCAATGACCCCTTCTGACTTTACTCATTTTCCTCTTCCTCACTTGTTGGGTTAGGGAATAAGGTGTTGGAGCAAAAGTATAGGAATTGCACAGGCTTCTGACCAGGGCAGTGACTCATACAGGGTTTTATGCCACTGGGGTCAGAGCTATTCCCCAAGTGCCAACAAAGTGCTCTGTTTTTGTTGAACATCCTCTTATAAACACCAAGAAGGGTCAGTGGTACCAGACTAGGGATCAGGCCCAGAGAGTCATAGAATCATAGAATCATAGAATTAGCTGGGTTGGAAGGGACCTCCAAGATCATCAAGTCCAACCCTTGATCCACTACCATCACGGTTACGAGACCATGGCACTGAGTGCCAAGACATTTGCAATATATACCAAGTGTGATTCCACCTACAGCTCTGCTCTGCTGCTGTGAATGGGATACCTGGCCTAACTGTCCTGCAGTCATCTTCAGAAAGTGGTAAGAGAAACTTGACAAGTGTCAGCCACTATTCCATGTGCTAATGGCTTGGTTGAGACACAACAAAATTATTTGAGGTGAAGAATGTGTGGCAGAGAAACAGAAACTGCGATGATATGGCACAGAGTTCCTACAGTTTGTAAACTGAGAGCACCCCATTGCATTCCCTGTATTAGATCAACCTTCCAGTGAAGTCATGGGTAATGCAGAGGTAGTAGAGAAGGACTCACACCCATGTGTTCTGCCAGACCTCCTCCTGTCTCTCACCAAAGCAGCCTTTTGTGTGACAGGCACATTCTCCCAGAGACAGTGCCATAAATGAACACCACCAGCCTACTTCCCTCCCATGTAACCATACCACCTTCAGGATCCTGACATGGAACAATCACTCCCCTGTTCTTAAACACTCAGCTGTTTGCTAGCACATAATATACGAAAAATGGGGTGTTAAAAGCCTTGTCTCTGCCTTCTTTCTAGTAAGGAAGAGCAAATACCAGGCAATTACAAAACATAGTATCTGCTCAGGTGAACTTCTCAATTCAGACATTTGTAATAAGAAAACATGGCAATTTATTCATTTAATTCCATTTGTGCCTCTGCTGCTATGGAAAGCTGAGTACTTTGAGGCTTGGAATCTACCATATGCTATAAAATGATTTACTCTGCTGCTTTTTTACTTGTACAGGATGCTCCTCCTGAGAAACACAATGGTTTCTCATTTACAAGGCAGTCCTGCTGGCATCCCTGAAAGGGAGGAAAAAACCCCATAAATATGAAATGAATCTAATGTTGCAACAAAATGGGATGCAGTGTTCAAGTGACCTAATTAATACCCAATGCAGACTGGGAGGTTTGGAATACTTTAATAGTTAAGGGTAAAGTTTTAAGGTTAATTAAATACTGTGCTTGGTCAGGAGCTATCTGCACTACTCAAGTATTTACGAAGGAGATTTGGGAAGAAAGGGAAGATTATGTGTGCTGATTTTCACTGGGAACTGGATCTGACTGTCCTTTGGCTTACCCAAACTCAGTGTATGCATGCACACGCACGCATGAAACCCTGGCTGCTCACTCACTGCCATGGGCCAGGTTCACCTGAGTGACACTTCAGAGATTTCCAGCCCTTGGAAAGGGACAGGACACAGGAGGTTGGTGGTGTGGTAGGGAGGTGCTCTAAATCCCTCCTAGGAACACAAGCTCAAAGCATGCTGGTTTTGCAGGAATGCACTTATCCACAAAACCACTCGAAACCTCCTGACTAGTTTCACTGCCACCTGAATAAGCCCCAAATGTAACGACATCTGTAGGGTCTCATAACAATTAAGTAATAATTAAATAATTCTACTGCTGGGTATATGTGTGTAAAATTTCCTGCACAGAATTTGAAACCTTTCTTCCATGAAAAATGAATAGTGCTAAAAAAGACATCTGTTCTTCTCTAAGTCAGGCAAAAATCCTACTCGGACTCCTTTTAAAAGTAAAATCATCATGAGTAAAAGCATTTTCTTTTCTACCTTTCATGCTGCAGGCACTTTTTCCCACCTCAGAACTCAAGTCTCTAATCCGGGGCATGGCTCTTTTGCAACAGAATCAATGAATCACACCAATATTTGTGTTACGATGGGAATAAGTTAGCAGAACGTGTTTTGTTATGCAGATTTCCTGGGAGAAGGGAGAGAGGGAAATGGTCCAGTTTCTGAAACCATTTAAATGACAGGCAAAACTGGACCAAACAGGTGAGATGTCACATTTTAGAAACCCAAAGCTTTAAGCTAAGGAGCACATTGTCAAATCTAGGTACATTAATTTTAATTTCAATTTTAGAAGGTATACAAATAAAGGAAAAATAGTTCAGCTTGCATCGCTTTTGTTTTGTTTTGAAGGAAAAAACAGAATAAAAAAGGGGAAAACCAAACCAATCAAACACAACCACCAGTTCTCACCAATCAGCTGCTCTGTGGTAGAAGCTCATGTGTACACATTTACTCAGCAGTAAATGCAATTCCTTTTTTGTTGTAGTTCATCATATGTCATAGTGGGAGCAACCAAAGAACAGCTGGCAGGTCATAACTAGCTTAGAGCAACTCATTTTACACTGAGAACTTACAGACTCAGCTCAGGAAGACTTTTTTTATTCTACAAATCAAGCTTCACGAAAAGCCCATGAAACATACTCCATGAGTATGTTTTTGTTCAGGGATGCTCTTAAGCAGCTATCAGGGTGTGCTTCTGGATTGCCCATGAAAACATTCACTATCCCTAACACTGTAAATATTCTCAATAGCAGTCAGTTAACATGAAATGTTTCTAAGCCCAAATTCTCAATTCACAAACCTCTACAGTCCTCAGAACAAAGTCTTTCTTTTGCTGATGATACTGGTCTTTCAATCATACAGTTCAAAGTGACTATCTTTGAGTTTTTCCTTCTTAATTTGTAAAAAACCACATGAACTTTTAAAAAAGTTTATGTCATTCCAGTGAGGAAAGAACAAGGGGGGGGAGGGGAGAAAGAAGTAAAAAAATTACCCAGTGTGTGTTTTGCTGATAAATACTTTTGTGTGCAAACACCAGACACTGGGCTAAGTCTCAGCTGGTATAAATTAGTATTACTCCATCAACCTCAATTTCCTTTCTGAAGTTCACAATATTGCTATTTAAAAGAAGTGTGTGTGTGCAGAGAAATGACAGGAAATATTCCCATGGACCCTGGTGTGAAGTCTCCTGTGGGACCAGCATTTTAACGATGTTTTAAGCAACCATGTAAGAGGGAAAGACACAAGGCCATTGTGTGTTTTCTGTGGAGCTGGCCTCTGAGCCTCACACAGCCCAGGGCTGGGCTTCTTTCTCTTCCTCCCGAAAAGAGCATCCTTCTCCATCCCACTGGAAGAATTTCCCTGGACTTTTTGCTCTGTGGAGGTGGAGAAGAACACATAACTGGGTGTAAACCATCGCTAGCCTTCAACATTTCTCCCTCTTCATTCCTGCAAAGGTCACGTTCTTGGCATTCAGAGACTGTCCCTTTTGTCACCCCCAATACGCCGCTAGCCAGGAGACAGCAGACTAATTTCTCCCTCCAGGGCCAGCACTGCTCAGCTGAAAATTGCCAACAACCAAGTCATGGGAGCTCTCTTGCAGCATCTGTCCTGCTGAGCAGGGAACAGGACCACAAGGAGGGGCAGCTCAGCAAGCAACTGGCACCCCACAAGAGGATGGAGTGAGACGCAGAGACTTGCACATTCCTACCCACACAACAAAACCAGCCCTTCTGCCCCTCCTCTTGCTTCCCCTTGTGCCTTTAGTCAGGGGATATAGCCATCTGCAAGGCAGAGATAATTGAAATTAAAGGACTGATCAGGCCACGGTGAAAGCACCCATGTCTGTAACATGCCTACAAACTGATCATCTTGAGTACAATGCTTGAAAAAAATCCAAACCAAGTATTTGGAAAGAGAGTCCGGAAAACTCAGCCCCAATGGGATGCAAAATAAACCAGTGATCAAAATCTCCAAAGCATACTCTCAGTCATCCTCAAGAATATCATTTCAATGTGTGACATGGGAGAGAAGGAAATTAATACATTTTTTCAGGGTTATTCTAAGACTCAGTTTTAAGCTGAGTAATCATTTCTGTACTCTTCTCTGGTGCCTTTACAGTCCCAGGGGAAAGGACTTTGCTACAGAGCTCTACAGGTTGGTGCTCGTGACTCTCATGCTGAGCTTCATGGGTGGGAGCAATGCTGGGATGAGAAGTGAGATTTACTACTGGTCCCAGTTGAATATGGAGCTCCCTGTTGCTGCCTGTCCTCACTGTGCCCTCACTGAACAGCAAAATGAAGACAGCAGATCAAACATCCCCTTAAACATTCACCAGGGGAGGCACAGACATATTTGCCCGGAGGAGAAAGAGGCACTAGTTGAATTCAAAGTGCTGTTTTAAGCTAATTTTGTTGAGAAAAGTGAAGTGGTTGTGTGAACATTTCTATTTTAAGCCCAAGCAAAGTCAGTCAGGCTGTAAAGAAAAGAACTGTCCCGCATGGGGTTTGCACTGGTTTAACTTCAGTTGGTAGAAAAATCAATGCAAGGTCAGCCACTGCAGCTTCTTTGGGGAGACAAGGTTAAAAACTTGCCCCTCTTGTCATGGTATTAGGCAGCTCAGAAAAAGCTCTGGATTTTCTCAGAAATCTATCAACAAGAGTAAACCTAATTTTAACAAATAATTGAATAATAAACCCAGACGTTGAGTGGAATTTGGGAAGCTCCTTCACAACGTGGTCTCAAACCCCCTGGCTGTCATAGCTATATCAGCCTACTGTTATTCCCTAAGGAAAGGCTGCCTGAAGTCATCACCTCCCTGGTTAACTAGACAGGCACACCCTTGTAGCATGAAGAGTGTGTATTTTGTTGGGAATGAACTCAGTGGTTCAACTCCTTCTAAGTGCTCCAAGAGACCAAGCCCACAACAGGTACCTTCAAATAGCAAAGCCCTGAAATCAGCCTGCCTACTGGCCAGCATAAAGCCACCTCAGGCAGATAATCACCGACTTCAACATCTTTAAAGTCACCCATGACATTTTAAATATTGATTTTAGTCTCCAGGGTGTCTATGAAGAGAGCAATTACTTAATAGAGTTGTATGAATATTTTGGCAATGACTACTAAATATATTTAAAATACCATTATAGGAATAAATTGTTCATGGAGAAGTACTATTTAAAATATTTTGGAGATTTTTGTCGCCAAAATATAGTCTGTATTAGCAATGCTGAATAGATTTTATTTCAGCTTGGACTTTCAGGTTTTTAGAAATGATCTTTCAGAACTTCTACAGAATTATTTTCCATATGAAGCCATATGACTCCACTCAACAATGAAAAGCAAAATGGAAAAAAGTGGAAGTGGTATTTTGCCTTTTCATTCACCCACAATCTAACTGGTTTGGGTATTCTTAGGTATACGATAATTTTTAATCAAAATGGAAAATGTACAATTTTAATATTTTCTGAACAGTATGAAATTTTAAACACTTCAAGTACCAAACATCTAAAGACAACTTTTAAAAGTAAAGAGATTATCAGTTTCAGAAGAGTTTATGAAACACTAATTTTGAATTAAATTGTAACCATTTTTGGACAGCTACCATTTAGCATTTAGTGCTACAGATTAAGCCTTCAACCCTGCAATCTGAGGCATTATGCTCATTATCCATACTAATAGCTCCAGAAATTTCTGAAAACAAATTCACAGAGTTTGACATTTCTTGCTTTCAACAATCTTTTGGCAATCTTCAGTCCTTATGTATATTAACACATGCAGTGTTAGTTAACATATTAATACTAGCACATGTAAATGCATACAAACATTTTTTGGTTATAATTACTTTCAACAACTCTATCGAATTCCATTCTGCTCTAGCGATTTTTACATCTATCCCTCCCTTCTCTGGAGGGATAACATAATATTACAGAAAGTAGAAATAATGACTTCTGAATACCTTCACCATCCTTATAATTATCACTCACTATCAGAAAGGAGTGGGAAGGGAATCACACATTTTACACATGGCTTGGGCCCCCAACATAAGAAGGATGTGCACCTGTTGGACTGATCATGAAGATGCACTGAGGGCTTGAGCACCTCTGATATAGAGACAGGCTGAGAGGGCTGGGGTTCCTCAGCCTGCAGAAGAGAAGGCCCCAGGAGGACTTCCAGTGTCTAAAGGGCTTGCAAGAGAGCTGGAGAAGGACTTGGGACGGGGCAGGGAGAGACAAGACAAGAGGGAATGGCTTTACACTGACAGAGGGCAGGGTTAGATGGGATATTGGGATGAAATTCTTCCCTGTGAGGGTGGTGAGGCCCTGGCTGCCCCACCCCTGGAAGTGTTCAAGGCCAGGTTGGATGGGGCCTGGAGCAGCCTGGTCTAGTGGAAGGTGTCCCTGGCCATGGTAGGGGTTTGTAGCTATATGATCTCTAAGGTCTCTTTCATCCCAAACTATTCTATGATTCTATGACATGACTTTTAGGGTAATTTTGCTCAGGTGACTTTGCTTCATTTTCGTCTCTGTATATTTTTACGTACTAAAAAGCTAAATACTGACAACACAAAATCAGCAAAAACGTTGCTGTTAAACTGGACAGAGTGAGGATTTTAGCCCATCTTTTCTCCTTCTGCCTATCTGCATATAAACAATCTCTAAATTGGAAACGATACGAAGACGAAAGGAAGGAAGAAAAACAAGACGGAAAAAAACCCACAAGAGATGCTCCAAGTCCAAGTGCCCTCAGCAGACGGTTTGCACCCACCATGGTGACTCATGACCTGCCCAGCAGCCTCCATACTGACATTCTGCAGATAGTTGTGGCAGCGTTCCTTGTGCTCCTCCAGCGAACTGCGCTGCTTGTAGCTCCGGCCGCAGTAGTTGCACTTGTGAGGCTTCCCCACTGCGGAAAGAATGAGAGCATGGGGTCAAATCCACTGCAACCCGCTTCTGCAATCAGAAAAACTCTCACCTTTGCCACAAACAACTCTCTTGTGGTGGAAAGACACCTAAGAAAGGTTACTGGAGTCCCAGGCCTTTTCCCCGGCCCTGTTTTCCCACCGCACACACCTCCTCCCACCCGCCGGGTACTTTGCCCCATCCGTTTTTCGCACTCAGGCGCTGTATCAGCAGAAGGAAAAGGAGGCGGACTTGGTTGCAAAGCAAATAAACAGATGCTGAGAGGGGAAAAAATACCAGCCAGCTGAATCACACCCCAGCACTGCCTGCGTGTCACCAAGTCTCGTGGGAAAGAAACTTCTGACATATTTTGCCCATGGCATGAATAAAAACGAGCTGCCCCAGTGGCCTAATTCTTCTCCCAATCATGGGGAAACCCATTACATGGCCCAGAGGAGTTCTTTCACTGAGAAAACTTTGCCAAAACTACTAAGGGAAGGTTAGAAAATAAACAGAAAGTAACTTTGGTAACTGCACTGTTACATGTCACAACTGAGCAACCACCAGTAATTCAGAGACCAGATAATATTGAATATATATAATATAAATCTATATACATCTAAACATATACACATAAAAATATAAAAGCCATGTACAATTAAAATCAAGCCAGATGAATGCAAGACATAACTCCAGTTTTAAATATTTTTTTTGTTTTGCTCAGCAGCATTATGCACAAATGGCAAATGCTTCTTAATACATGCAAAACCTGGCACCAAATTCTCATAAATTATATCCTTTTCATAGCATGTCATTAAGAAACCACAAGAATGGCCTAGCCCAAGGCCAGAAAGCTAGCCAGAAGGTATTTTGCCAAGCGGTGCTAATAAAGGCTTTTAATATAATTTAAACTTGTAGAACATGAACATTTATCCTTTAATAACTAAAGAGCTATTAAGTTAGTGCTACAAGTCTAGTAAAACACCATCGGCTGTGAATTTCAGAGCTGGCTGAGGGATGGGGAAGGTCAAACTTCTCCCAGAGTTTTGAAAATCTTCGGTAAGAATTTTAGTTTCTGGCAAAAGAAATTGAGAACATCCTCTGTTGGATAATATTCATGTTTCTATTGGGTTTGTCCCAATACTGAAAGCTTTTCACAGTCATTTACTTAATGAAATCTGAGCTGTACTAATTGCAGCCAAACTGCACCGTCACCCCTGGGAAGGGAAAACGCAGGGGAAGCCGTGGGGAGGACAGCTGCAGTCAAGAAGAAGCTGGGTAGAGGGTTCCTGGTGCTGAGGCTGGAGCCCCAAACATGGAAAACCTGGAGTTAGGGCAATTCCCTGGGCCATCTGCAGGACCAGCACATGCCACATCACCCTGTGATGGAAGATGAAGAAGCCTGAGCCTGAGGAACCAGAGCTGGTCCAACAGTTTCACATGGTTTTCTCTCAGAAAAAAAGGGATTTGATGAAATGAACATGCTTGCAGAAAGCTTCAGTTTTTCCCAAGGAGTTTGTGTGTGCAGTTCAGTGACACAACCAAGTCTTCCACCAGGGGAAAAAAAAAAAAAGCTGTTTTTAATAAGTATCAAAACTGTGGATTTTTCTATTTGGAGATAAGGCTTATCCTCAAGAAAGTGTGTCTCAGACTAAAGAGTCGTTGCGGCCTTTATTTTACTTTGCTCACTTGCTTACACTGTTGCCATAACTGATGCTGGTAATGGAAACCTCAGTGGAGGCCCCAGCGTGAGGCTCATTATCATTCCCAGAATAAATGCCCTTGATGTGAATGATCTGGATCAAGCCCTAGCTCTTAAACATCAGCCAGCCAGCTCATTCTGGAGGCACCTTTAGGAAAACTCACTGGAGGCTCCCTAGGATGGAAAGACTTTTCTAATCACCATTACAACACTTCATCATGCATCTAGATGGCATCAATGTCTGTCAGTCTGATGCCCTCATTAGAAGCTAATATGGTGTCTAATAAAAAAAAAAATCCAGTGCAATGGAAGGGATTATGTTAACTGAGCTGAACCAGTTTGGCCACACCAGGTTATCAAGCAATTTAGATAAACTGTAAGACACAAAGGAAAGGGATGATTGCTTGCAGCTATTCAAGGCAGACATAATTAATTAAATTATTATCATTTAACACAGAAATATTCTGCTACAAGCTCACATTACAGAAAAATAATTGATTCAACAATCAAAAAAGAGGTTCTATTAGACCTCTTCAAATGGTTGCTCCCTGCATTGCAACCATTTCAGTAACTATTCACACACAACATGGCAGAGCTTTTCCAGTAATATCTAGGATGGTCATCTACCTAAATTCCATCAAATTTCAAGGTTAATAGAGATGATAAAAGCTAATGATAAAGGCATGATTTTTACAGGCAATATGGGATTTGAGGAACATAATTCCCCAGGGAAAGAAATCGTCCCAGCACACACGCTCCCTCCTCTGGGAGAAGATAAGAGAATAAACAACATGTGGCAAATGTTAGTCATGTTGCCTAATACACAACTGTGAAGAATGAAGTTTGTGAGCATGAGTTGAGTAGGATCAAGTACAACTCCCTTGGGTTCATTTCCAAATTCTGTCCCCCCTGGCTCTAGAGATGCAATCCCATCACAGTCCCACACGTGTAAAATCTGATTTACGCTATAAAATTACAGAGTGACTGTGACTTGGGTTGTTGTGACTTGATCAGGTCAGACCACAACGGAATCAGGTCTGATGGCAGGAGTTTGTGTCACCAGCAAACCTCACAGCCTGTTTGGTCAGAGGTGCAGCAAGTCGAGGCAGCAATTACAGTCTAGACTTTAGAAATCGTGCCATTGTGACAAATGTCAAGTCACCGAAATAGCTGCAAATATCCCCTTGTATTCTCAAAGTAGTCAATGACAATACATATATATATATATTTGTGGAAACGAATGTTGCCAGTGGGTGTACATTTCTATGTATTTCATATTACCCGACAGAAAGCTGTAACAGTGTATTAGAGAATTCAATTCCGGTGATGATCTCAACCACGCACTTTGTCCCACAGAACAGCCAACATGAAAACATATGACTGCCAAAGGAGATTTCAGTCTTGTCAAATATCTTAGGGTAGATCAATATTCAAAATTTGCCCCCAAAACATGTGGCTCGCACCACTGGGCACGAGCAGTCTTTGTCTATAGGCCATTGACTTGAAGGTAAAGAGTCCAACAGCACTACACCTACCAAACCCCCCTGCGAGCCCCCACTAAAAGCAGGTCTTTCCACTGTGGAGCCATTTCCACTGTGAAACCACTCCAAGTTTGGCTCAGTTCGGTTCACACGAAGCTGCCTTCTCCGAGATCCCCACTGAAGACCACGGTACACGGACACCGCGTTGGGCATTGTACGCACCCACCGCTGACAGTGGTAGCAGCACCCAAGCAAAGTCAGTATCTTTTCAGGACAAACAATCAGATAAAAAATTACCATAACCTATTCTCATAGACATGACACACCACACTCAACACAAACAAGCCCCAAATCTTTGAGAAATCTTCGGTCTGTTGTTAAACTGGGAAAGACCAGGGCACTGGGTAAAACCCAGCGGCCACACCTATGAAACAGCTAACTTAAAGAACACTTAAAAACCACTTTATATTTCTTACTGAAATGTCAGAATTTCCACACATTTAAGCTCAGATTTGTACAGATGACAACATGGCACAGAAAACCCACGGTGGAATCTCAGCCTCAAATGGAAAATATTATGACAGTCACAGTGAAAAAGACATTTAAATTTGAAGTACAATTTTTACCCTGAAACAGGTGAACCGCTTGTCAAAATTCACAGTGAAATGGAGTTTGCTTGTGAAATTAAAATGCTCATGTGGAGGGAGGAGGGGGAAGAGGAGGAGGACATAAAAGCAAGGTGTTTCTGAGTTAGGAATACTTTGAGTCCTGTGGGTGAACTTTGGTAGCTGAGAAGTCTGCGTGCAGCAACAATGAGATGGTGTAACTCTAAGGTCAATATTCAAGACAGAAAGCAGACTAGGGCCTAGACAAACTTCTCTAAAGTCATAAAAAAGGTCAGTAAAAGAGACCGTGAGGCACTCACGCAGCCCTTTGCTCTCAAAAGAAATGGGAGTGCAGAGTAGAATATAAAGTAAGTCAAAGGGAAATAACAAGGCATCCCAGGTAACACCTTGCCATAAGCATATAAAGTGAGAAAGGCTTATGGAACAGGTTAAGAGCTACGACACACTTTGCTGAGCTAAAATCCTGCCTCCCTCAAGATAAATGACAAAACACGCACTGGTTTCAGCAGTCAGGATTAACTACTCCCACATTTCCCTATTTTGGGTAGCACATTCTCCTGAAGCAATGCAGAGCAGAACCCCTTCCCATCCCTTTGCCTGTGTCCCAAGCCCTGGCAACAGCTCAACCACTACCACCACCTGCTCATACAGGAACGGGCATCACTGCGGCCGTGTGACTTAGGCCAGCCCAATCCCTGGACCAGGGACTTTGCACTGGGCTTTGGATCACATTTCCATTAATTCTGCACTATTGCCCCAGTCAGGTCATGGAAGCGAAGCCAGTCAGGATTTCTGCACTACGTGGCCATCTGACACAGCTACTTTTGGTCTGAGGGAGACCCTCTGATGGCAGTGCACTGAGTGGGGCTTATTTCTGTAAAATCTGAGCTCTTACTCAGCCCCGAGCTCCCATAGCTGAAGCAAACACCAGTACTTGCTGACTGAAGCTTTCTGAAGTAGCATTGAGGTTAAAATGTTCTTTTGGGCTGACACACCTATCAGTAAGGCTGTAGAATCCACTGTCACAATCATAACCCATATTAATTCACCAGTCTTTTTCTTCCCTAAAACTGGAAGGTGCCTGGGTGAAGGGAACTGATCTACAGTTGCACAGTGGCTACCACAAAGTAGCCCTTTGCCTTCAATAGGACTTACCAGAGCACAATCAGCTTTAACACATAGGTAGAAAATATGA